AAGCAGTTTCAAGGTGAAAAACTTAATTTAATGACTAAAAAAGGTATATACCCATACGACTTCATGGATAGCTTTGAAAAATTTGATGAGGGGTTGCCTTCAAAAAAAGACTTTTATAGTATTCTTACTGATGAGAATATCTCAGATGATTCTTACAACCATGCACAAAATGTTTGGAATACATTCAATCTTAAAAACATGGGTGATTACCACGATTTGTATCTGAAATCTGATGTTTTGTTATTAGCTGATGTATTTGAAAACTTTCGAAAAACATGCTTAGAATACTATAATTTAGACCCATGCCACTATTTTACTAGTCCTGGTCTGTCATGGGATGCTATGTTGAAGATGATAGATATTAAATTAGAACTAATGACTGATATTGACATGTTTCAATTCATCGAAAAGGGTATGAGAGGAGGTGTTTCTTATATTTCTAACCGATATGGTAATGCAAATAACAAATATATGAAAACATTTGATAAGAATAAACCCTCAAAATATATAATGTATCTTGACGCAAACAATTTATATGGATGGGCTATGTCACAATACCTACCTACTGGTGGTTTTAAATGGTTAACTGAGAAACAGATTAACAACATAAACCTTTATAAATATCAAGATAGTAAAAAAGGTTTAATTTTAGAAGTTGATTTAGAATACCCTGAAGAACTACATAATTTACATAACGATTATCCACTAGCACCTGAAAAAATTAAGGTCACTAGCAACATGCTGTCAAAATATTGTAAGACAATTGCTTCTAATTACAATATATCAACAGGTTTAGTTAATAAGTTAATACCTACATTACAAAATAAAGAGAAGTATGTGCTACATTATAGAAATCTTCAATTATACTTAGATCTCGGGTTAAAATTAAAAAAAGTACATAGAGTACTCGAATTTAATCAATCTCCATGGTTGAAAAAATACATAGACTTTAATACTCAAAAAAGAACTAATGCAAAAAATTCTTTTGAAAAAGACTTCTTCAAACTTATGAATAACAGTGTTTTTGGTAAGACGATGGAAAACTTACGAAAAAGAGTAGATGTTAGACTAGTAACTAATAAAAATAAATTATTAAAATTAGCTTCAAAACCTACTTATGTAAGTAGTAAAATCTTCAATGAGAACCTTGTGGCTGTGCATAAGATCAAAGAAACACTAACCCTTAATAGGCCGGCATATGTGGGTATGTGCATCTTAGATTTATCTAAAGTATTAATGTATGATTTTCATTACAATTATATCAAAAATCGGTATGGTGATAAAGCTAAATTATTATTCACAGATACAGATTCTCTAACATATGAAATCGAAACTGAAGATGTCTATAAAGATTTTTGGGTTGATAAAGATAAATTTGATACTAGTGATTACCCAGAATACCATAAATATCATGATAAAACTAATAAAAAAGTTATTGGTAAAATGAAAGATGAAGCTGCTGGAATAGTAGTTAAAGAATTTGTTGGTTTAAGAAGTAAGATGTATAGTTATATTAAAGACAATAATAAAGGAGATAAGAAAGCTAAAGGAATAAAAAAAAATATTATTAAAAACAAAATAAAACATGAAGACTATAAACAAACACTATTTGAAAATAAACAAATACATCATACAATGAAAACTATTAGAAGTGTAAACCATCAACTTAGTAGTTATGAAATTAATAAAGTTTCACTAAGCTGTTTTGATGATAAACGGTATATATTAGATGATGGTATAACTACTAGAGCTTATGGTCATTATTTAAATAATAATTAAAACTTATTTTAATATACAGTTATAATGTGTAGTAAGCATGTAGCGTGGGCCTCTGTTAGAGTAAAATCATACATACCTGCTCCTCATTTTTGACTACATATCACATAACTGTTTGTAATAAGTAATTAATACAAAAGCGATATACAAAAGAATTCAAAATCCTGAAACAATTATTAAAAACACTTTTAACAAAAATTATATGACACTCGCTTGACAGACAAATTAAAAAACATATAGATTCCATAGTTTTGTAAAACATTGTATTATTATACATTAAACAACCATTGTTGAAAAACATGCACTAAGACACGCGCGCCGCTACTGATATTTTAATAACACTTGATTATTAACACTTGATTATTAAAGACGGTTTTTTGAAGAGCATTTCTTAAGCCTCTGTTATTCTCGAATATTCTTCGAATATTCATCGAATCCATGGGAGGCGACCCCAATTTTCACTTCGTGAAAAATTTTCCCAATGTCGCCTAAATTATCGGGGCTCCATCCCTGCTCAATTTTAGCGTAGCTAAAATTTGCGCTGAGCCCCCTCAAAACCAATGCTTTCTTAACATTTGTTTGTAAAGACGGTTTGTAAAATTTGAACGCACCTATATATTTCAAAAACATATAGATTCCATATTTTGAAAAGATGTTTTATTAACACTTGATTTCTAAAGATAGTTTTTAAAGAGCATTTCTTAAGCCTCTGTTATTCTCGAATATTCTTCGAATATTCATCGAATCCATGGGAGGCGACCCCAATTTTTCACTTCGTGAAAAATTTTCCCAATGTCGCCTAAGAATTATCGGGGGCTCCATCCCCTGCTCAATTTTAGCGTAGCTAAAATTTGCGCTGCCGAGCCCCCTCAAAACCAATGCTTTCTTAACATTTGTTTGTAAAGACGGTTTTTTGAAGAGCATTTCTTAAGCCTCTGTTATTCTCGAATATTCTTCGAATATTCATCGAATCCATGGGAGGCGACCCCAATTTTTCACTTCGTGAAAAATTTTCCCAATGTCGCCTAAGAATTATCGGGGGCTCCATCCCCTGCTCAATTTTAGCGTAGCTAAAATTTGCGCTGCCGAGCCCCCTCAAAACCAATGCTTTCTTAACATTTGTTTGTAAAGACGGTTTTTTGAAGAGCATTTCTTAAGCCTCTGTTGTCCTTCGGACAAAACGGGGCGAGCCGAAAATTCTAGCTAAAGCTAGAATTTTTTACCCACCAGCTCGCATGAATTCTCGGCGATCCCATCCCCCTGCTCAATTTTAGCGTAGCTAAAATTTGCGCTGCCGGATCGCCTCCGAAACGATGCTTTTTTAACACTTGATTTCTAAAGATAGTTTTTACCCAAGGTTATATGTAGTATAGTACATGGGGGGATATAGCGCACTTTTAGTGCGCTAGAACCCCCATGTACTATACTACTAGTAAATCATTTGCCAAAGAACATGCTTTTGAGGGGTTTTTCGGAAAGGCTTCAAATGCAAATTGTACAAAGCTTGTAAAACCGGTTGCTAGTTTTCTCTTCCAAAATTCTCTTCTTTTCCCAATACTGCTATACAAAGTACTATCTTTCAAAAGAACTTAACACTACATATCATGAATATATGAGTACGAGCCTCTTCCCCCAGTTAACAATCTTTCTACGCCCATGCTCGTCCAGTTACTCAGCATAAACAGTTACACTCGCTCTTAACACTGGTTTGCGCATGCATCGTACTGTATCTTGTACAACTTCCATTTGTAATTGTTGACTCGTAGAATTCCTTCTAATTTGCGTTATAATGTTCTACGTTGCGTACAATACACTGCTGTGTTGCATCTTGTTTGTAATTAATAAAATGCTTTACATTCATGTGTCATTTAAATATACTAGGGAGCTTTAGCACGAGCATATTTGGTTGCGTTTTGTTGTCGCAACAATGTTTTATGCCAAAATGACGTAAGTCGTACTCGTAGTCTTTGCTAAAGTTCATTATTTTGTTACGTACGTCATTTTTAGGTAAGTGAGCTTGTCATGGCATATTTACTCTTTAAGAAACATGATTACAATGAGTGTGGTCTCACCCACTTTTTGCTGTTGTTTTTTGTTATTTTTTATCTATATTGTAAAATTTTCATACTCTAGGTGTCCAGTTTACTTCGAAAGGCTTACGAAAATCGTTCTGTGGCAGATACAAACTGTAACGATCGCTCGTCGAGAAGTCACTCTGTCTTTCAACTAAAACTCGTCGGAGTAATGAGATTACTGGGGAACTAAGTCAAGGCAGGATTATGCATATTTATGTTTTTGTTTTCAGTTTAAGAATTTTTGAAATAGTTCATCATATTAGAATATGGATGTTGACTATCGACTTAGTTCTATATGATTAGTCCAGCTTTTATTTTGCTTTAACACGTTTCCACGCGGTAAAACAGGACTGCGCAGCGAAATCAAATCTGAGGGGGTTGGGTAAAGCCTGTTTTCCACTAGGCACGTGTCGTAACCTATCATAGCATGCGCCCTGTTACGTTTTGCTACGATACGTTACGATACGTGGCTATTGGAAAACAGGCTTAAGACATATATTAACTAAATATACTACGTCTTACCTTGCCTTTAATTTAGCTAAAATGTATAAATGTTAGCAAAAACTTTATCTGGGGAAAAAGTGGGGTGTGCTCTAGTCCCCACTCTTTGGCGCCGTGGCTGTAAATGTCTCCTCGATATTTATTATATATTCAGTAGCAAAAGAATCTGCAAAATTGTTATCTATTGTTTTGCGATGACGATGAGCTAAATTTTTCAGGGTATTGAGTTTGGTTGATCTGCGGGTTCTGAAAGAATAAGTCAATCCAGATCAACAGGATTAAGACTTAAGGAAGCTAATCACATAAACTAGAGCCTCACACATTTGGGTATAGTCTTCAACTTACTAAGAAGGTAAGCATATACTTACCTTATGATGGATGAACTTGAATTCATTGACAGGAGATATGATTTTTGTATTTTATTGATTAACGCTGTGCACAATGCGATTTTTAAACATTACATAAGTATAAGAAAAATGCATACATCTGCAACAATAGACCGTTCTTTGAAATTCCAACAATAAAAATTTGCATGTTTAGATTATTTATTCCAGAAAATAAATGTTTGCGTCTGTTTTTAAATTTACTCAATCATACGTAGCTATACTGTGTAGAGAGATGATAGTCAAATAAATTATAATACATTTTAGGCTAGTCACGTGCCTTATAGAACCTCGAAATTAACTCATTTGTTGCAAAACTCTCTTGGTGGTAACAGTAAAAGGTTGGTATTACTGAATATATGTGTATCAGATTTTCATCAATGTACACACGTCATTGTAGATGACATGAAGTATTAACATGTGTTAGTTGTGATAATTAGTGTATGTAATACATTCATATTTCAGTTTGATGTTCGTGAATGTTTCTCCTCGCGAGGACTCTTTCCAGGAAACCCTATGTTCACTTCGATTTGCCACTCAGGTATGATTCGTATATATCATAGCATGATTTCGAGTGCAATTCGGGGAAAACATGCACGAGTGAGTTTTTCAAAGACTATCGAAATTGCACAAGTCTGAAGGACGAGTGCCTGTTTTTCCCAAATTGCACGAGAAACCATATTACTTATTAATAAAGTACATGAAAAATTTCTCAATCCTGCCGGCAAGTTGTAAATATCGACAAACTCGTATTTTTGAATTCCGTGAAATATTACTTTTCGCAACACCATAGCTTCCGCACACGCAGCTAGAACAAGGTATCTACTTTTAGCAGTGTTCATGTGTTCATACAGAAATAATTTGAAAACGGTGAACTGTAAGCTCGTTCGCCAAAGCATGAGTGTATGATCTATGAAGTAGAACATATATTTAGCATTTAATCTATTGTTGTATTTTCTCATGCTATGTCATTAGGCTGCGACTACAGATATTTTCATACGTCAATTTCTACGTGAGAAAGTGAATCTCATTTCATTTGGCTATAAACTATATATGTATGTTGCAACTAGCATTCAAGTTATTGTTTTGGAAATTTAACGTAAATTGTAACAGTGAAATCTGCACAACAATATCATCAGGCATTAATATTTCACTATTGGCTGATTTCTAAAGGACATGACATAAGCATCCGCATAAACGTAAACTTAAAAAATATTTAACTCAAAGAAGAACAAATGAAGATTTGAATAAAAATTCCACGATGTCTTTGTTCTTGTAAACATTTTAGTAAGAGTAACTAAAGTCTTTTCGCTCATGTTCATTCCACTGTTGTAAAACATGCATAAACGTTTTAGCACGCTGCCTTACCCTACACTTTTATTCCATCAAAATCGCCATTTTCCATTCATTGATATTCCGTGTGAAAACTTTAAGAAATAACTTACAAGAAATTCCTCTGCAGTACAAAAAGTGTGAAGTTCAAAGTAATTATAAATGTCTTATAATACAATGATATCAAACAAAAATATTTCCACTCGAAGTTCAGGCACAAAATAGAAAATTTACTATAATATACATATACAAGGAAGTTTCTTTACGAAAACAATAAAATCCATAAAGACAAAAATGTTTTCATATTCTTAAAATTATTTATCAGGATTAATGGCACAATTTCACAGAATACATACGTCAGTTGTTTTGGTAATAGTCAATCTGATGAATGTCGCGAGCTAAACCAAAGTCTGCAATTTTCATTACTCTATCTTCACCAACTAAAATATTCCTGGCAGCAAGATCGCGATGAATACACTACAAAATTATTGGTGGTGTAAGGATAAATCATCACACCAATGCTTATATAGCTGTACAGTGATATAGTTCAATCTAAAAGCCACCTTTCTTCCTGACAAATATTCCATTCCACGAGCAATTTGATAACTGAAGGTGACGAAATCCCTAAAGCACAACTTTTCTTCTCCTTCTATTGGAATGGTCTCTCCGTTTCGGTCCTTCTTTCACGAAGATATTCTCGTAAATTGCCGAAAGGTGCGTATTCGACAACCACCAGTAGCGGTCCTGAGAATTTAATGAAAGTAAATCAACGAAGCATAGTTTATGCGTAAGCATGTAGCTGGTAGGTATTCTCAACATTCAGTAGACTTTCAAAATCATCAGGAATGACACTTACGTCTGACAAATCCGAGTCATGTCTTCGAAAACGCTGATTGCTCAACAGCGGATTCGTCGAGCTAGTCGACACAGATGATGAAGTAGAGCTCAGCAGGTCTCTCCTTCCGTGGATAATTTCGAGGGCGATAGCCGGCAACGCTAAACACGCGTTTCTTGTGTTTCTTGCATTTGAATATTAATAAGTAGGCAATAATTGAGTTTACGACACGAACGAATGCAGCCACGGATACAACAATGTAAAGGGAAATTCTTGAACTCTGAACTGATTCGTCCTTCTCAACTGGTTGTTGCTGGAAAAGCTAGATTTCTGCTCGCTGCGAAATTTTAAAACAAATGGATTTATCCATATCGCAGTTAAATTCAGCTAGTCACTTGATTAACAGTCGAAATAAAACTAATGAAACCATTCGACTAGACCAGGGATCTCCAAACTTTACAGCCAGAGGGCCACATGAACTTTCATTCAGCATGTTGAGGGCCGACGAACCGTATACCGCAGGTCAAAGAGCGAATATTTTAATAAAACGAAGTACATTACACAAGCTTCATTAGTTAAGAAAATATTTATTCAAAATTTGAAGGTTAAATTTCAACCAAGAGTAGTATCATAACAAAATAACTATTAGTCTGTTCAGTTTTCTAAATGTGAGTGGTGAAATTGGCTTCTTTAGTGTCTCTGCGGGCCAGATTTAGAGGCCGCATCTGGCCCGCGGGCCGTAGTTTCGAGACACCTGGACTAGACAATAAGCTCATGCAATGGTTGCGAAACTGCGCCAATGGTTTTATATGAGCGAAAAATAAAACATAAAAACGCACTCACCTGACATGGAGACTGGCGTCATAGGTCTTGGTAAAACGTGGAGGTAGAATCATAACCCAGGTTATCGCCAACGACACAATAATAGTTAGCCGTATTTGTTGTCTGGTTCGTACGTCATTGTATTGTGTGTGCAGGAAATGTATTGTCATTGTGGATTAGTGTGAAGTGAAATATTTTATTTTTAGTTGTGATGTGTGATATAGGTGTGACGTTTTTAGTTGTAATGTGTGGGTGTCAATTGTGTATTGTCATTGTGAATTAGTTTGAAGTGTGATGTTTTTTAGTTGATCGTTTGTTTGTATTGTGAATAAGTCGTTTGTAAGGTGCCAGTAATTGCTGTGATCTGTTGAGGGGGGTTTGTTTCTAGTTGGTGTACCAACTTTCTAATGTAAGCCGTTGTCTATAGTCAGTACTGTAAGTGATGCATTTTGCCGAGTCCCAGTCAATGTTATGCTTTGTGATTCGGTGATGTTCGGCAATGTGATTAGTTTTGTCTTGTTTCTTAGTAGCTCGTTTGTGCTCAGTAAGTCTTATGTTTAAGTTCCTGCCAGTTTCCCCGATATAGAGGCGTGGCAGTCGGAGCAGTTTATTTTGTAAACTGCACCTTGTCGTTCGTTTGGGTTGTTCTTTGTCCTTTATGTTCGTTAGTACTTGTCGCAACGTTGTGATTGGTTTATGTGCGACACGTATGTTGTATGGTGGTAAGATACGCGAGATATTATCAGACGTACCTTTGATGTAAGGTATCGTTGCTGTTGTCACTGAGTTGTTCGTTCTGTTGGGTTCGTTGGGTTTGTACGTGTTGCGTTTGATAAAGTCAGAGTTATAGTTGTTTTTGTCGAAAACACGTTTGAGATAGTTGTTTTCGTGTTGTAAAGCGTCCTGTGAATCACATATGATTTGTGCACGTCTTGTTAATGTTCTGATTGTGTTCATATGATTTTCTTGTTAATGTTCTGATTGTGTTCATATGATGTTCTTGTTAATGTTCTGATTGTGTTCATATGATTTGTGCACGTCTTGTTATTGTTCTGATTGTTTATGTAGGGTTGTAAGTTTATTGGTCTAGTCGTCGTTCCGGGTTTATTAACCTGGACGATCAACATTTACAAACATATCAGGATTATACCAATCTGGACAATCTACATTTACAAACACATAATTTTTGCGTTACATAGAAGATGGCGATTCACGTAGGAGACGTACGTAGCCGGCATGTTAGTATGAGAAAACTAATTATGAAATTCAACGATATCATCTTTGCTTCAATAATAGAGAGCTAAATTAAAAACGTAAAACTAAGGCGAAAGAAAGTTTAAAAAAAACATAGAAACCATAAACTAAAACGATATAAACTTAAAGCAACACAGATAACTCATTCCACAACCGCAAATTCCAAAAAAATGAAGTGAAAAACCTCTTCAAAAAAAATCTTGCTTGCGCACAGGTGTTACAGCCTTTCCTACGGCCCCGTAACGACTTAGGCCGATGACGAAATAGAATGCTACTTACTTGATCGGATGATGTAACGGCAACGGCTTTCAAGTTGGTAACAAACACATCGTTGGCTTGTTTGCCATTGTTTGTGGTTACTTGTTTAATCTCATGTTTGCTGTCTGGGTTTCCAAGGAGATCACGTATTGTCGCGCTGTATATTTCGAGAAAAGACGCTTGTATCTCGTACTATATAATGTTTTGGGAAAAATCATGATTGAATAAATGGCTGGAAAAACCCCAATCGAGCGATTTAACATAATCATGTGTCGTGAGCTACATGTATCTTTCTGAAAAGTGAACTCTCGTCATTAATAATATACTTTATGTGTACAAAATTGACATTTATTACCTTCCAACCTTTACTCATGCGATCCTTGGCACTAAAGAAGACTTGTTCCATAGCACGTGGTATCACACCCCACGTATCACGGCCTTTGATATCACTTTCCATTGTAAATGTTTTACCTGATCCAGTCCGACCATACGCAAAGATGCAAACATTGTATCCATCAAGCACACTTTGAACTAGCTGTGCTGTTTCTTGATAAATCGTTACTTGAGTGGTTTCTGGACAAAATGCTTTGTCAAATGAAAATGACATTCTGGCTTGTTGGCTTTTCTTAGACAAAGTACTAGACTAAACAGGAAAGTTCGCAAAACATTTGAATCAATCTTCAATATTCACCAAACAACGTTGGTATGTTTATGTACGTACGTAAACATAAATAAACGGAACAGCGTAATGTTCCCAATAAAAGATTGAAAGGTCTACATAAATAAACACATACCTTGTTGTTATTGCGTAGAATAATATCAGTGTCATTGGCGAACTCCATATTAGTGAGCGAAACACTAGTTTCTGAAGGCAGACTTGGCCGAACACGACAATAGACGCGAATGTTACCCTTCAACTCTTGTACTTTATTACGAAGCTGACGTCGTATTGTCTCCTTACCTCGAAGTCTCGCCTCCAGTTCACAAATACTATCTTGATGTTCGCGTAACTTACTTTCAAATTGTAAAAAAACGCTTGCC